CGGTACATTATGCGACCGCAGAACAGGTATGCGGACCGTATTTCTGTCGCATACCCAGACAGTGTGTTCAGGTTTTGGGGCCATTTTTGCGGTCCATTCTGCGGGCCGCATGTCCATTATGCGATCGCAGATCGTCGGGGCTCCTATTTTCTAACTTTTAAAATCCGACCCATCCCATTAAAAATACCCCATTAGACCATTTTTCTGATATTTCACTGCATATAGAGTAAGAGAGGAAGTTCTAGAGAGAGAAGGAGTGACCTTCATCAAGTCCCCACTCAATCCTTGCCCCAAATCCTTGAAGATTGTCAAGTGAAATTACTAGATCTTCACCCTAAGAGGTAAGAACTTGTACCCTCATCTATAATTTCGAAATTTCTATTAAAATAAGTGATAGCAAGTGGGTTCATGGGTATAAGGCTGATAATCTTCCATAAATAAAAGATAATGGGGTATGGGGAGGTTGTGAACCAAAAAGATAGCAATTGTGGTTTAGGATGATGAAAAATCTCTCACAAAAGGGTCCTAAAATCATTGTGCATACTTAGTGCTTGATAATTTACTTAAATGAGCTAGAATCTTATTCATGCCTCTAATTCTTGGTTCAACTCGTAATTTTCATAAAATAGATCTAAGTTGCTAGGAAATTCCGAAATTTATTATAAGCATTTAAGGAAAGCTCCATTGAGGTATGTATGGCTAAAAACCTCTCCTCTTAGAAATTGAGCTTCCATGTGCCCTTGCAAATGTTGTAAGTTCGAAATTTGATTGATGTAGTACTTGTTATGTTAAATGAATTGATATTGTGAAGATGCATGTAGAAGGTGCTTCTTCATGTGCTTAATGTGTTATTCTTTGCAAATTGAGGATGTGTGGAGAACATGATCTATGTGCTAAATGCGTAAATGTCAAGTCAAGGTTACATTGGGACTAATATGCCGAACTAGATGAGTTCCTCTCTATGCTTATAACTTAAATTGCTTTTGTATGTGCCTATGATCTTAAATGGCGAGGTAAATGTTGAAAACGGGAACAATGTAAAATGTGAGTTAGGGAATGTGGTAATTGTGGCCCAAAGAACCGATGAACTAATACATGTGAAACCAAAGATTGAAGTGAGATGATTAACGGAGAAATGGTAACGTCTCGGGGAGACGGCTTAGCCGATCGCGTGATCGGACGCCATGTTATATACACATGGTGGTAATGTATTGATAATTGAAACTGGAAAGTGAGAATGAAATAATGGTAACGTCTCGGGGAGACGGCTTAGCCGATCGGGCCGTGATCGGACTCCGCTCAAGGAAGCGGTGGTAATGTGGATAATGATACAACAGTATGGAATGCTCCAATCTAAAATTACAAAAACTATGTGAACCTCTTATATTGTTGACGTGGCGCTTATTTGAAGCTTTGTTGTCCTTATGATTTCTTTTTACTCTTGTATGGTTGTTCTTTCTAACGGGATGGTGTTTAGTTATACATACTAGTACTATTCCATGGTACTAATGCCCCTTTTGCCGGGGGCGCTACATTTTTAAATGAATGTAGGTGGCTCCATAGCGGATAGTGCCGATCGCGCATAGCGGAGCATCCTCCTCTCAAAGTCTTGGTGAGCCCCTTTCTCCTTCAAGGGGTTATGTTATACACCTTTTTGTTATAGATATCCACTTTTGAGGTATAGCCGGGGCCTTGTTACCGGTGTTGTTATCATTGTCTTTTGTATCCTTAGAGGCTCCGTAGACGTTTGTGTGGGTTATGTACGGGCGTTGGATGGGTCCGTGAACTATGTTGTAATTATTAACTCTTGCTTTCTTCTAAACTATAACTGTATGAAATCTTGGGAACCTAACTACGGTTTAAGGTTGTAATATAAAATGAACTATCAATGTTGAATGTACAACCCCTCTTATTGTCTAATTAAACGGAAATCGGATTCCTTAATCACATTGAGTTGGGTAGAAAGTGTTTGATAAGGCTTGCTCAGTTGGGTTCACTCGATTGAGCGTCGGTCGCGCCTCCCGAGGTTGGGGCGTGACATGTTACTTCACAAATATCTGCTAGGCATTGTCTATCCATATTTGCACTATAGACATTAGACTTCCCAGCATTCGCACTTAGTCCAGATGCATTAGAAAATGTTTGCAAGCCCCTCAACATAAGCAGTACACTTTGATAATCTCCTTTACAGAACATCAAAACATCATCGGCAAAACATAAGTGATGTAGCTTCAAACTTTTGCACTTCGTATGAGAAGAAAATCCATCTAGCGTGGCTACCCATTGCATGATTCTTGTAAAATATTCCATACATATCACAAATAGAAGAGGTGATATAGGATCTCCTTGACGTAATCCCCTTCTCCCCTTAATACATCCATATAGTCCACCATTCAAAGCAATTGAGTATTGAGTTGTAGATATGCATACCATAGTCCATTTGATGAATTTGGGAGGAAAGTTTAAGGCATGTAACATTTCTTCCACAAATCCCCATTCCACAGAGTCATACGCTTTCTTTAGGTCTGTTTTAATCAAACAGCTTCTTGTGGATTTCTTCCTGTTATACAACTTCACCAAATCTTGACAAATGAGTATATTTTGTACTATGCTTCTGCCTTCCACAAATGCACTCTGGTTCTCAGCTATTATTGAGGGCAGTACATCTTTTAATCTGTTGCATAACACCTTTGAAATTATCTTATAGACAGTTTTGCAGCATGCAATAGGTCTATAATATCCTACCTCATATGCATGGTTATTCTTTGGGACAAGAGTTATAATAGTTCTGTTAATGATCCTCAGCATTTTTGTAATTTCAAAGAACTCCATCACACTACCAATTACATCTTGCTTCACCACTTGCCAGCAATCCTTAAAGAACTGAGATCCATAGCCATCAGGGCCTGGGGATTTATCTCCTGCAATTGACCACAAAGCTGCCTTACTTCTTTTTCAGTAACCTGAGCTTCCAATTTTTCTCTCTGCTCCTGTTGAACTACAGGTCCTTTCCTCACTAAATTGCTGCACACATGTTGCATGTCTCCTTTGCACTCCCCCAACAGATTCTTGTAAAATTTTATAAAGGCAGTTGCAATCCCTTCCATATCTGTAGTTACCTTCCCTTCTGCATCCTTTATAGAGAAAATCATGTTAGCATACCTTCTGGCTTTTATCACATTATGGAAGTATTTTGTATTTTGATCACCCTGTCTCAGCCATTGTATCTTGCTTTTTTGTCTCAAGAATTGCTCCTTTGTTGCCTTCCATTTGATGCTTTCTTTCATCAATCTGATTTCCTCTGCAATTAGCTCAGCATTTCTAGGGTCTTTTTGAATCTTTTCTTGGCATTCTATCAAGTTTGCCATTGCTGTTTCAGCCCTTCCTTCAACATCTGAAAAGCTTTCCCTATTTAGTCTTTGCAGTACACTTTTAGTTCTATTCAACTTCTCCACCAATTTGTACATCTTTGTGCCTTTCATCTCCTTCTCCCATACTTCTTGTACTCTTGCTTTAAATTCTGGTATCACACTCCACATATTAAAATATCTAAACTGTCTTTTACGCCCTATATTCCCTCCTTCCCAGTTTATAATTGTTGGACAGTGATCATAGATGCCCTCACTCATGAAATGCACCTCTTATGTAGGTAAGTCAGTCATCCATTCAGTATTAACCAGCACACGATCTATTTTGCTATAGACTCTACTATCTCCTCCTTGCTCGTTATTCCATGTGAAGAAAGCTCCTGAAGATCTAAGCTCTTTCAAACCACATATTTCAATACACTGTCTAAAGTCTCTTGTTTCAGCCATAGTTACTTTGCCTCCTATTCTTACTTTGCTTCCTATTCTTTCCTCCCTATTGAGAACACAGTTAAAGTCACCCATCACAATCCATGGTCCATCCATTTGAGCACCTATCTGGTTAATATCTTCCCATAGCTTCTTCCTTGCTGCTTGCTCATTAAAACCATACACTAGTGTAACATTAAAGCTGATTCCATTCCCTTGATGTTTAACTTTGCTATGAATTACTTGCTCAGTCACTTCCTTTATATCTACCTCATATAGTTGAGGTTTCCACAGCATCCATATCCTACCTCCTGGGTGTTTTCCTAAATTTGTTATGAATGACCATCCTTGACAGAGATAAAAAGAAGCTTTTTGTGTCGTAACTCTCTTTACCTTTGTTTCCAGAAATCCAAACAAGCCAACTCTCAGATTATGGATAAACAGATTCATTTCTCTCTGGCTTGTTCAGACCTCTGGCATTCCAAAAATCAATTCTATCCATTAGGGTTGGGATTACCCCACCCTTCCCATGTCTAATTTTTGTTTAATTTCTTTTCCTGCACAAGAGAACCAAAGAATTGTATGAGAAATTGAGAATGCATGATATTGAAGACTTGTAATTGTGGTTAAGCACACGTGCGTAAATTACAAAGTGTAATTGTGATGCATGGTGTTACATTATATTTTGTCTAATCAACTGTTAATCACTAGGAGTTTAGGACAGATCATGAAAGCCTTAGGTATTCGAAGAGCCAAGATAAGTTGGAAAAAAAAAGCATTTTAATAAAAATTGGAAGAGTTACATAAAAACAATTTCATATGTTATCCGCTATACACGAGGAAAAAGATAATGTGGTTGCCGATGCTCTATTTAGGAAATATGCTTAATGCTTTGATTAATAAAATGCTAAGTTGGAAGATGTAGTCACATATGCTAGCGGTTTTGATCTATTTGTATACACTTGAAAATTCATGGGGTCAGGGTATGGAACCAAAGTCAGAAAAATATGACTCTAAAATAGTAATAATATCATGTAAAATGGAACGGATATTATAATTTTGTTGATTCAATATGTTCATTGACATTTGTAGCCTAGGATATGCGGCATCTTTTCTGGAAATTGCACCAATTGATAAAAGAGGTGAGTGTAATTAGGAAGCATCGGTGTAGTGTGGACCATCCCAACTCAACACCACAACAAAGATGGTTAAAAAAAAAGTTCCAGAGATCATGTTCCTTATAGGGAGAAAAATGAATAAATCAACATATACAATATGAATATAGAGCCAAAAGAATAATAAAGTATATGAACCACAAAAAAAAGTTATACTGCTGGGAACAAAAAACTGAAATAAAACTCCATCTTCATATTCACTCAAAACAGAAATTTGTGATCTCAAATTGCTGATTTCTTGATCTTGTGTCGGTAAAACGCCTTCTTCTTCTTGCTAGAAGTGTTCTTAATTGTCAGCACAACTTTTCCAGCTTCATTGTTCTTGAATGTGTTGCGAATTGGCGAGCTCAACTTCTTCTCCTTCTGAATGATAATTGTGTAAGAGTTCTCATCCTCTGGCACAAATTCCTCCTTATATCTCACTTCCCCTCCCACTATGGTAACATCCCAGATAAATGTACTTCCCACCTGACATAATTTTAAATTTACCAAAAAAAATCAGAATCACCATATAATAAAAGGGAAAGATAAAAATCTTAACATAACCAAGATTTCATTCCCAAAAGTTACCTCTGGTGCAGGTATTTCAATGTTTTCAGTTGATCCAGCTTTAAGAAGAATTTCAGAAGCTTCACAGTCAGAGGCTGAAAACTCAAAGTCATTCTCCCTCTTGAGTCCACCATATTGAATTGGGATTTCTTGGATAGGAATGTACCTGTTCAAGCCAAACAGTTCAGCATTAACACCCAATAGACTAGGGGGGAAAGAAATTTCGCATTCGAGGACTAAAAATGCTGAAAAACTGAATTTCTTAAGTTTAAGGAAAAGAACTTACTTGAGCAAAGTCTCAGTGACCTTAGCAGGGCGAGCAAAACGAATTTGCTTTTGGTTCTTTGAGTTAGGAAAGGAGAGAGCAATGACTGGAAAGCATAATACTAAAATGGAACATTGATGAATATCTGAAAAAAAGAAACAGGTGAAATGGTCACATAAGGTTTATAGTAAATTTTTCATAGGCAATTTTAACTACCCATAGTAAGATAATTTTCACAACCTATATTTCTGCAAAATGTTGTCACACCTTGGATCCTCCAAAAATGTACTATTTTTGGAGGATCCAACACGTACTGATATTTTCGGAGAGTCCTAGTAACATAGTTTACAACTATATATGCTTGCACTTTATTCTAAGAACTCACTAACTGAAAGTAAAAACAAGGAAAATGGAATAGAATACTCACATTTTTTGCAACAAATTCAGGGTAGTTATCCTGAAGAAGATCAACATCTTGTTTTCTAGCAATCCTGACCTCTTTCTTGGAAGGTCCAGGGGAGTTCTTCAGATCATTAATCTGAAGCAGTGAACTGACTCCACCAGCCTTGAAATCAAGCTGCTGAATACCCTTCTCCATTAACTGCACTCTCCACCTCAAGAACTGCTTACGTTTCTCCTCCGTCCCGAATGTCTTGTTATACAGCTCTTGATCATCCAAAACTCCAAAAATGTTGTAACAAATTGGGTGGCCTTGGTTATCAATTCCACTCATGTAAGCAGTTGGAGCAAGATCTGACCCTAAATCTTCCTCCAAGATTGATTCGACCTCAAAATCCTTCCTCCACTGGAGTGTTTTCTTGAGCATTTCGAATAATTCATTCACTTTGTAATCCCTTGCTCTCAAGAATTTCAAAATAACCACATTGGTTTTCTCACCCCCTTTGCTAGGCAATAGAGGTACCCCCCCCCCCCCCCAAATGGAGATCTCTTTATCCACTTCATCAACATCCAAATCAGCCCCCTCTTTCTCACTCTCTTTCTCCTCTTTATTCTCACAATTTGTATCGCAATTTTCCTCATTCTTTGTCTCTTTCTCCTCAACCTTGTTCTCATTATCTTTCTTTTCTTCCTCTTCACCTGATGGTGATTTCTCTGGAGACTTTTTGGTGGAACTCTCTTCTTTTTTGAAGAGAGTGTTACCAAGAATGGCCTCCTCGAGTTTTGATTTGAGATCATTCAAAGCCTTCTTCTCATTCTCTTTGAGATCAGAGAGAAAGTTGCTCTCTTCTCTATAAGAAGAGCTCTTTTCTATTGCCTTTGGTTTGGTCTCCTCCTCCTCCTCTTCTTTTACTTTCTCATTCTCAACCTCCTCTACAATCTTTTTAGCCTCTAATTCTTCTTTTGGAACAACAACCTCAGCTACTTGAGTTGCCTCAGATTGCACCTCTACTGTCATGTTTGATTAGTAAATAGCACAAAATTTTGTACTGGATCTTGGCAATCACCTCCTAAACAGCTGAAAATTTAAGAAAGTGTGAGAAAAAATTTGGGACCCCAATCGTTTGCTCTTGGATTGGACTAAGCGGCAATCCTTACTGTGGAAGCAGACCTTGTCATTCTTCTCCTTCAATGCCAGTGGATAAGTACACTAGGGCTGGAATGCTCTTTTATCATGTATGTGGATTACTTGGTCGATTACCTGATTGCACTAGTCTCATAGCCCTCTCTTTAGCGTCCCGCCATTCCTTCTTGTTAACACAGGAAATCTAACTCATTCTAAGGTAGAGCTCTTAGAGTCCTACTTAAAGTGAAAGGTAGTTCTTTAGTTAAAGCAAGGAGAGCAGAAACTGAGGGAAAAAACCTATGTTCTTACGCGGGATGGGAATAAAGGCCAAAAAAGTACTCATAATACAACAACTACAATGCCTCAATTCCAAACAAGCTAGGGTTGGCTATATGAATCATGACTAACCATGTTTCCCATTGGAAACCATCTCATTCAAACATTTTACAAAATAAAATAAAAAATGAAAAATATTAGAAGTTCTCGATATCTCCAACCAGTGGCGGAGGCAGCATCTCCACGAAGGGGGTTCAAAAATTCTTTTTGTAGCTAGTGGAAATTGAACCTATGACCTTGTTAAGGTTTTGAACCCCCTTGACCACTAAACTACACTTTTGGGTTGTGTTAAAGGGGTTCAAAACTTAACATATAAAGGTAAAAAACAGATTGTGCCTTATATATACAGTGTAATTTTTCGACGACGGGAGTTCGAGTGAACCCCCTTCCGCCCCCCAAAATCCGCCCGTCTCATACTAGCATATGAATCTCTAACAAGATGGAATTGAAACCCCTAAAAAATTGTTCTAAAAACCAAAGAAGCAGCTCCCTATTAGAAGTAGAAAATTGAAACTTGAAAAATGTCACAATTTCCTAGTTAGGCGAAGCCATAATTTGAAGTTTATGTACTGGGTTCTAAACTAATAATTTATACCTATTAAATGAATTTTTTAAGAAATAAACAAAGTTTGGACCAGAGTTATTAGGTTTGGGCCGAACCCGTAACTTGGTCTCTGGCTCCGCCATAACTCCCTTATGTAAACATATTCGTTTAACAAAATCAGCAAATTCAACAACAAATAGCAGAAAAACTGTCACCTAGAAAACTCGAAACCATAAAATTGAAGAGAAAAAAAAAGGACTAGACAACTTCTGATTATTAAGGGAAAAGAAAGAGAAGAGTTAGAAATTCACCTTAGGGACTTGAATGAGCTGCTCTCTCTCAATTTTCACAATGACTATGTTGTTTGGGAGGTATTTGGGATGAGAAGTGAAGAGAGGTTTTGCAACGGTTATATATTTGTTTGAAAATCTCAACGTGTGTGTGGGACCCAAAACGGTCCAATTTAATTTGTAGGCTGACACCGCACCGCAGGCCGCATGGCATGTTAGAGCCGTTGGGGGATTCTTTTTTCCTAGGCTGTATTCCAGCAAACGTGATTTGTCCTTAATCATGTTTTTGGCCCCACAACCAACATTTTATTCGCTAGGCTTTAATCATTTGACTCGGTCCAAATCTCACATTTTAGTAAGAAAATGTCAAATTTTCTGACACAAATTGTCTCTTAAGTAAGTAGTAGAGTAATTAGTAGTAGTCGTAAAGAATATTCCATGATAAATCCAGTTTCATAAGGAAAAATTGGAAGAAACCAAAAAAAAATAATTAGATCATATAAACAAAGCATAGTAACTCAAACACCTATTTAATTTAGTCTATTTGGCTTTGCTTCTTTTTGGCCAAACGTGTTTTTTTCTAAGTAGAGTGTTTGGCCGTTAGACGGGAAAAAAAAAATTTGAGTAGAATTAGCACAAGCAATTTTTGAGAAGAAAAAAACAGTTTCTTTCTAAAAACACTTTTTTAAAAAGCACTTTTGAGCAACATACACTTATAACCTATTTGGCCAAGCTTCTTCTTTTTCAAAGTTGAAGTATTTGGCCAAGCTTTTAGAAGGAAAAAAAACGTTTTTGGGTAGAAGCAGAAGCAGTTTTGTAGAAGCAGAAAAAAGTAGCTTCTCTTCAAAAGCATTTTGAGAAAAATACACTTAGCTAGCGTTTGGCCATAGATCTCAAATTTATTTTGAAAAATCTGATTTGGGTGAAATTTGATTTGAAGATGAAAATGTGTTTGGACATAGGTTTTCAAAACATATTTTCCAACTTTATTTTGGAAAAACATGTATATAATTTCCAAGTTTTGGGATTTTGGCCCAAAATCAGCTCAATAGCTGATTTTGGGATTTGAGATTTGAGATTTGGAATTTGGCCAAAATATGGGCAAAATTTATGGCCAAACATGAGTTTTGAAAATAAATTCCAAATTTATTTTGGCAAAACTTATGGCCAAACGGGGCCTTAGAAGCAGTTCTTAAAAGCTTGGTCAAACAATAATTGCTATTCAGAAGTGCTTTTCAAATTAAATAGGCAAACTCAAATTGTTTCTCACCAAAAGTACTTTTGAGAAAAAGCACTTCTCCATAAGCTAATTTTTGCAACTTGGCCAAACAGACTATTAGAAATATTCTTTAAAGACTTGGCCAAACACTAATTGCTGTTCAAAAGAGCTTTCAAATTAAATAGTCAAACATAAACTGCTTCTCACCAAGAGTATTTTTTTGAAATGCACCTTTGAGAAAAGCACTTTCAAAAAAAAATTTAAAAATTTGGCCAAACACATTATAAATCACTCTTACAAAATTATATAAGTCACTTTAGTAAATTATAAACTTTAATGGGAAAATGACACTGTATAGCCGCTCTCAAATTAATAGCCAAAAAAAATATCTTTTTTGTATATATATTATATACTAAAATTATACAAATTTTATACACTTTTTTGACTACCAAATATAAATAGTTTCTAGCGCGAGCTAAATGTGATAATAGCCCAAACTTTAATAAGTACTTTATTATTTCATTATAGCTTTTTAACCTTAGGTATAGAGAGCTGAAGTCCGACATTGATGTGAATATTAGATGTAGGTCCTTTACATTAGGAATTTTTACATTCCTATGCCATATAGGAAACTATATTACCCTCAATGTTTAAGGTTTGATATAATTACATTTAGTATACCTAATTACCAATTATATACCATTAGTGATTTTTAAGGGTATTAATTACACTCCTAATTTAATGGTACCGTACATTCCTTCTAATACCACTCCCCCCACGTTTCTCTCTCCATTTCCCACACCTTCACCCATGTTTTCCTCCCATACCCATGATTTCTGTATCAAAATCTCATTATTTCTTCCATAGCCAAGGCACTGTCGGCACCTCTGCAATCTTGTCCCAATGTTTTTGTGCTCGGGGAAGATGAGCACAAGCCTGGTCGATTTGATGGTTAAGATTTCGGGTTCCTTCACATTAAGGTTTATCTCCCAGAGTTTGATTCTCAATATGTTCTGAGCTCGAACAGATCTTTTTATCTTTTTCTTTTGATACTTCAATTGTTGGCAAAAGTCAATTTTCTTGTAACAGTTCATGGGAGGATTTTGCTTAGGAAGATCTATCCCTTCATCATGTTTTTTTGGATTCCATATTTAGCATAGCAGTTTCGTAAAGAGTAACAAAAGCATATAGGAGAATCACAGAATTGTAGCATAATTGGAATTTTTGACATAATTGTATTTTTTGCAGATTTGTAGAAGTTTTAGTCGCTTTTGATTTGTGAAAAACAGTAAAAATAACATCTACAATCAGAATACAAATACTCTACCATTTATCGATAAAATATCTACAAACTGGGTACATTGAATTTATATCCCAATTCCCATTCAATTGTAGCATAATTGGGATTTTCGACATAATTGCATTTTTTTGCAGAAGATTTGTAGAAGTTTTAGTCGTTTTTGAATTGTGAAAACAGAAAACTAAAGCAATTCTACAATCAGAATACATATAATCTACAATTTATCTACAAAATATCTACAAACTGGGTACATTGAATTTTAATATCCCAATTCCCATTCAATTGTAGCATAATTGGGATTTTCGACATAATTGCATTTTTTTGCAGAAGATTTGTAGAAGTTTTAGTCGTTTTTGATTTGTGAAAACAGAAAACAAAGTATCTACAATCATAATACAAATAATCTATAATTTATCTACAAAATATCTACAAACTGGATACATTGAATTTTAATATCCCAATTCCCATTCAATTGTAGCATAATTGGGATTTTTGACATAATTGCGTTTTTATCAGAAGATTTGTAGAAGTTTTAGTCATTTTTTATTTGTGAAAACAGAAAATAAAGTATCTACAATCAGAATACAAATAATCTACAATTTATCTACAAATTATCTACAAACTGGGTACATATTTGGACTCGACATGCTTCCCCTGAAATGTATGTTTCACATTTTAGATACAGATTTTTGTCCAAAACAGTACTAAATCATCCACCTTTTTTTTACTAACACGCATCTGCAATATTGTTACGTTAGACGTAAGTGTTGACAGCCTAGAACAACATGTATATTTTTAATTCTTTCAGTTGAGTTCCAAGTAATTAAATATTTTAAAAAGATGAGATCGAATCCATTAAAACCAGACAATTAATTAAGGAATTTCCAATATTAGCGCGCCTAAATAAGGACGTCTACAACTACAATGATTCCTTATTTAATGAAATATCTGGAAGAATATTTACTTCCCCAATTTTAGCGCGCCTAAATAAGGAATCCTATAGCTACAATGATTCATTATTTAATGCATTGTCTATATTTTGTAGAAATACTATTAGCATGAAGGGTAATATGCAAACTATCAACATATTTGGTAATATAGTTTCATATATGGTATAGGAACGAAAATTTCCCCTTATTTTAAGGTCTTCCGAGGTTCATTTAATTAGTTTTAAGGTCTATTTTCTTATCATACAATTTACTACATTTTTTTCAAGCTGTCATCATCTAACTTTCATTTTGGAATCGTTGGTTGGCAAATTCAACTGATAAGCCAACTTAAACTTTTACACCACTAATATTCTTTCGCATGCCCATTGGGATCACCTTTAATTAGAATCAATTAATGATATTTGATGAGATCAAAGCTGTAAAAGAAAGTCGCAGATGCTTGAAATTTAAAGAGAAAATTGTAACGAAATTAGAATAAACAGAATTAATATAAACTTGACAAGGAACAACATGAGCTGAATATGTTGTTTAGTGTTGTATATGAATAAAGTATTAACATATGTACAAGAGAGACCTATTTATTGCAAGGAACCAGTCGTTATGCGCCTAAACTACTTTCTTGTCCTGCTCCAAATTTTGTCTTTGAAAGCTCGACACAATAAGTTAACGTTCAAGCTGTTACTTGCTCCCGCGGCAGTACCCTTTCAATCTAGAAGTCATGTTGACTAATTCACTTAACTCCACGTTCAGTCTACGTATAGGTAGGGGTATCAATGGTTCGGTTCGGACGGTTATTTTATAAAATTTATATCATATTAATTTTTCGGTTGTTCCATTTTGGATAACCAAATTAGACTTTTCGAAATCGTCCCAATCACTCGGGTTTTCTTCAGTGTTGGTACGGTTCGATTAATTTTTCGGTATTTTTTTAAAAATGTCATGCAAGCGTCGCTAGTCGAAGTTAGAAGGCGATAAATGTATGCTTGCATAAGACTTTGACAAAACTCTCTAGATCTTTTTACTATTTTAAAAGCGATGATCAAAGCAACATGAAAGATGTCCAGAATAGAGATTCATCCCACTATTTTATGGTAGTATAAAACAAATTAAGCAAAGACAAGAGAAATATAAATCATACGAATGGAAAGATACTAATCAAGTTGGGACTCAAGAATAGAGCTTATTAGAAGATTAGTATCCAGCAAGAGAAATCTAAATCATACGATAGGAAAGATATCCAATACCTTGTGGCTTGCTACTAAAGATAGCAGGAATACCTAGTGGCTTGCTACTCAAGATGTTGGAACTAATTTAGTTTCGATATGAGTAGTAGAATAGGTTGAAGTTGGGACTCTGGATATTAATTATTTAGTCACTTGTAACCATTTCCATAATCCCAAGACCCAAGAAAAAAACTTAATGCTTTGTTAGTTTTAAACTTATTATATAAAATATATTTTTCATATATAAATTTATTCAGTACGATTCGATATTTTTTTGATTTATTTTTATAAAATTAAAAACTTATTCCTATCATTCGATATTATTATAAGTTTATATAAGAACCTATGGTTTTCCTAATAATCGATTCGGCACGGTTCGATTCGGTCGGTTTCGTCAGCTTTTAAAGATCCATTGACACCCCTTACGCATAGGTACAGACGATTCAGAGGAACCCAACAAATTTTGCTTAGATCTGATATTTTATTAAAAATTTTATGAAATATACAACAGCAATAACAACAACAAACTCGATATAATCCCACAAAGTAAGGTCGGAGAAGGGTGAGTACGCATGTTGTTTCTGATAGACCCCCGAAGGTAAAAGATTGTATTAAATCTGTATAAATACTTAAATGTGAATCCATTGACTAAGACGAGCTATAAGTCTAGTGATAAATTGAGAGCCACAAACTTCAAATACTAACTCCGCCTTTTGATTAACGTTAGTTTGTCCCATACTCGGGGGGAAGAATGGTTACTCGAACGGGGTATTAACTGATAGAAACTTTAACGATTTGATCAAAGTAACTTTCTTCACTCTGGCTATTACAGATATAGCCTTTTAAGGTCATACCTTCCTTCTGTTTTGTTGTTTTGTTTCCGTTTGGGTTTAAGGTTAAATAATTAATTCTCTCTCTTTTGTTGCCATTGACGTTGATGAACAACTGATAGATATTCACGTGGTGCTCGTCGGCACCTCCTTTAAACAAATACCTTTAGTCAAAGACATGATTTTATTTATTGCGCTTCTGTTTTTTTGCCCCTTTTTAAATATTTTAAATTGGCCTCAAATATGAACCTGTTCTAATACTGACAAAAGTTCAACTTTATCAGAACATTAGATTTATCTCTGGTTTTCGGTAAAGCTTTATTTTAAAATGATAAATGTTCATTTAGCATGATTGAGGTTACCAGGCAACTTATGGTACTTCAGTATATCACAATTCACAGTTAACTTTATAAAATTTTTCAAAAGTGGGAATTTATCCTTTTGACCGAACTTCCAAAAAGTATTTATTCTGAGAAATGTTTATGCCATAATAGAATTCCAGATAAGAATTTTGGGAATTGGGAATTTTTGCAATCAATCCATTTGATAAGCAATATTAGATGTCGCATTTTCAATTTTTGAACTTTATTTGATGTAAATTTTAATATGGGTAGATTACTGTAAACACCACCATAATACAACTTAGTTGTGTAGATATGTCTCCTCTATCTCAAAATAAAGTGCTTGGTGACATGTTTGGCTGTTACTTCTTTAGGAGTTACAGACATCATTAGTTTTAATAAATAATAAATAACTGAAAATATAAAAAATATACATTATAAGAAAATCCATCTCCCCAACAGTTTTAAACATGTATCCAAGTCAATTCCATTCCTCTATCGTTGGAAAGCATCGTATAACAGGTTAGCTTGTAAAGATGTCCCAAAAACCTTCAATCCAAGTAGAGAACAAAAACCGTTCATCTACTGTAACAGCCCAACCCACTAGTGAATTGTCTGCTTTGGGCCTAAGCCCGCACAGGAGAGATGTTGGGTACCAAGTACCAACCTGTCCCCTATTTGAACACTTCCGAGATATTCAAATTCAAGAGTTAAAGGAGAATACAAAACTTTTGAAAAGGGATATGTAGATGTTGACAAAATTGCTTCAAGTTCTCATCCTCAGTAATGTTACTTACAGACACAGTAGACACATAAAGTCTTGTGGAGAGAGAGAGAGAGAGAGAGAGAGAGAGAGAGAGAGAGAGAGAGAGAGAGAGTCAGGTACTGTTGAAAATATTTCTGTGTATCAAAATATTCTGATTGGTTGTTATCCTGATTTAAAAAAGGGACAAAAGCAGAAAGAGTAGAGAAAGTAAGAGCAGCAAAAATAATGGAAAGACTAGAACTGTTAGCATAGTCACAAATCTGGAACATTTACCTTAAGACTAGAGAGCTTGGGGGATTAGTTTAAATTCTGCATTTCATATGGCACAGCACATTCAATCGCTTTTTTCAAAGCTTCTGCTCCCAGATTTACAAGTACCTACAACAAATTATTGAAAGCTTTAATGTAGTTTGCCCAACAGAAGCAGTAATGCATTAGCAAATGGATAGCAGAGGTCTTGAATTTGGCAAAAGGGGAAAAACTACTCTGGTTTCACTGGATTACCAAAACCATAACAGAAATTTGACAGCAAACTATGTCTAACCTAAAAAAATTTGCCTAATTTTTCTGGACAAAGAAGAAAACACCCATAAAAATAACAATAACAAATATGATTCTTAACCATTATACTTCAGTAAACTTCTCCAATATTCTAATTCCAGTATCATAATTACCTGATATGAACCAGATTGAATAAGTAAAGCATTGCTTGAATATCCAATGTGCACATAAAATTCCTAAATAAAACATTGGACTAGGACAACTGCGGACCATCCACAAAAACAACAACAGCAACAACAACAACAACAACAACAACAACAACAAAAAACAAACCAGTGAGTTCCCACAGGTGAGGTCTGGGGAGGGTAAGATGTACGCAGCCTTGCCCCTACCGTGGAAGGGCAGAGAGGTTGTTTACGACCATCCACAAAGTGAACAATAAAGGACCCCGTAATTTTAGTGGGATGTCAACTGCATTTCCTGCTCTTTTTCTCTCCTAATTATTTTGTGTATTTTGGAATATCTACTGGATAAGTAAGATCTCTGTGCATGTTCGTAGTCATGATCAGTACGACAGTACCTCCAATATCCTTTCAAATCCTTTTACCTATCAAAGTTCACTCTGATGCTCCAACACTCAAAAGGCTAACCAGATAACTTCTTGATTAAAGCATGCTATTTTCCCATTCATTTCTGAGCTTTAGCTCTATGAGAAACCTCTCCTTGGTCACATGTATGGATATGGTAATGTTAGGGGATAAGTTGGCCAATGTTTAACCTGAACGGTAGTTGGTTAAGGAGCTAATGTACACCATGCATCAACATATTATTGATGTATACTGGTTCGGTCCCCAGGATGATATTCCAACAAATTCATTTGCTTATGGAAAAACATGTAGGCCAAATTGACAACATTAAATGAGTGACAACCCATAATCTCTAGAAATCTATGTTTTGACCACATGCAGACCATAATTATACACTTAATGTTCAAATCTTTCATGTAATTATCTTAATGAGGGCATTGTTCTTCTTGACCCTTGTTTAAATTGCCTGCAGCACCTCTATAAGGAAATAATAATTAAATAATTTACATGGATGAAATGCATCATCAAAACAGAGAAAGAAAGAAATATGATGACAACCACCCAAAAGAAAAAAAGAAAAGAAACAAGAGCTTCACCTCATTTGCATCTTTATAACTGCTAAATTCATCCTTTTTAGGCCAACATACTTGCCAACACCTGCAAAATCAAGCGAAGTCAACTAATGTTGAATAGTTGCTGACCCGTCGATGAAGTATAAAGGCTTTGGTCTGGATGGCGGATTGAAGATGAGAGTTACAAGTAGAAGCATCTGTGCATTTCACCCAACAAAGACAAATAGTGCAAGGAGAAATTTTCCATTTAAGAAAGTAGACAACATTCTGAGACATATAGAAAAGGACTGCAATATAAACACATGGGAAAGAGGGAACAAAACCTTTCTCTCCCTAGACGGCGGGCAAGTTCTTCAGCCAATGCTTGGCCTGGTAAATCACCATCAGTTGCCAGCACAATCCGGGACGCCTGAGCAGAATTTAAGGTAAAACGAAAAAGAAAATGAGCAAGGACATTAGAATCATATATTTTGCTGAGTGTTCTCAGTTCAATGCAAGCATCAAAAATGCCAACCTTTTCCAAGAAATCTTTGCAGTTCCACAGGTATGAAAATCTGGTATCCTGTCTTCAGGTGCAAGAAGAAAAATTAAGCTGGAAAGTATAATCCTAAATCTCAGATAATTTAAGAGTAAGTGGTAAACCGCAGAAAATCTAAGCGTGACAAACACATCATAAACGGTGTGATTCAAGAGTAGTAGAAACAGAACTCTAAGCCAATAGCCTTAAATGCAACTGTATTCTTCTTCCTTTGTTCAAGCAATTCTTTTTTTTTTTTTTGATTTGCACAGGGTGTCCGAGTCTCTAAGAGCCCGACTATCCCGGGGGTGCACAGGCCCTCGGCAAGGAGTTTCCCGCAAGGAGTTTCCCGCAAGTGCACCACGGTTAATTCAGGTTTTACCCAGTCCGATGGCCCTCAGAAATTGTTTGCACCCAGTGGGTTTCGAACTTGAGACCTTGAAAGGGAGCAAACCCCAAGGCTCAAGTCTATTGCCACCAGGCCAACCCCGGAGGGTTCTTTGTTCAAGCAATTTGTAAAGGATAATCAAATAGGGGAAAAGTAGAAAACATAATGAAATCAAAGCTTCTAAGATGATTAGCATACCCTTTACTTCCCAACAGAGAGTACAACACTAGTATCTAACTGAATCCTGTTCTTGTTGGAAAAGTAACTTCTCAAGAAGCAAGATGATGAGAGTTCTGTGATGTATCAATTGCAGCAAGGTAGATGATTTGATACTTTAATAAGTTGCTTTTGACTTGAATAATTATTTCATTCATATCTGCTCCTTATTTTATAACAGAGAAATCCCTAAGGGCAAAAAGTACAAAGAAAGAACGAGAGACAATTCATAACGAACTTCTAAAGTTCTTCTAGGGTCAAAAATATGTAATTTATTCCAAATGTATGAACATTCCCTTAATTTATTAAGATTTAAATGGGATATACGACATGGTATGTATAATATGAGCTGGTGTTTTCAGTAAGAAAACATATATTTCAAAATTCTTTGCAAAGATGATGTAAGAAACGCGAGAAATATCTTCATGAATGCCATTGATTCTGCACATTATGCCCAAACATTTATGTAACAACACAAACCTCTTCCGGTGGTAGCAGTTCCTTGGATGTGATGGTCTGTGGTGCACCATTAGGAACACTGACACAGTTAAGAAATCCAGCTTCTTCCACCGAAAGCTTATCTATTTCACCTTCTACCTTTGGTCAGCAATACAAATATAAATCTAGTCAGTAGCCAGAAATACATATCTGAGAAACAAGAGTTTTGAAACTTACAATGATGATCTCATCTGCTTCCCTTACATCATCCAGTCCATAAAGTGCCTTATCTGTACCCTTCTCCTGATAATTGAAAGTAGAAGTTGATTAATAAAGCACAAGGAAAACAAGGAAAAGTAACAGCTCTTTTTCCAGAATGTATCCAATTTTCCTTCAGAGAATTGAATGGTGGTGAAAGCAGCAGATCTAACTGGAAGATTGAAAATACTCTCAACTTGACATCACAAAATGTAATGTTCTGAAACGTCTGAACAGAGGATACACTAAATTCATTCAAAAGAGTCCCAAACCAAAAATAAGGGAACAACTACGGAAATTGTGATGAATATTACTGCGAAACAATCCTAAGTGTCATATATATTAGCATGACAAACAATCCCCATCTTGTTGCAAGATCCTATACTGTTAATTTCGTCCAAGGCCTCAAATATCTTCTTCTTTTTTTTAACTAAAAGGGATTCAAAGCTAAAGAGTTTGCTCATCGAAAAACCTTTTACTTTTCCAAGACTAATTTAGCTTAAGAAAGGGAAGCATGCACTGCATATAGTTAAGCAGTAATGGCACATTATGTTTTCACATGCTTCCCCAGTGTTCCATGCAGACAGTCAGAACTATAACTTACTGAACGAATGTACCTGCCAAAACCTTTTCTCAAGAGTCCGATACTTGCAGCCAATGAGCATACCGTTCTGTGTATAAGTGAAGGCAATGATGATCTGCAATCACCCAATATTGGCACACAATTCATATCTCCACCCACAATGCAGCCATAAAATAATACTTTCCAGCTTCGAAACAAGTGATGAATCCCTCAAATCATAACCTATCTACCATCAAGAAACCATTGAAGAAGACAATACACTGCTAGGTTACTGTCACAAAACTCCGTCAAACTTCAGCTTGATAAGTATGCTGGCTTGGAAGCCATTCATATGAACATGTTTCTTGAGTCCTACTTGTTTTCCATGTTACTGAACCTTATCATGGTTTTTGTTAATTTGTTCTTTGACTCATAATTTAGCCACTATTAACATCCCAAAAATTTTAGTATTTCTTCTTGCTCTTCTATTTTTTAAGTCAAAGCTTGATCAATCTGTTGCCTTGATATACTCATGTCAATCTTCCCCTACAAATACATAAATTTACCTTGGACTCAGGTGAATGTGCTAAAAGATAAATTGAAGATTCTCGCAATCGTAAAGCTAATGATTTCAGTGCAGTTTTTCAGAAGCTTCATTCTTGAACCAACATTGAGCTTTGTCCATGTATACATGTTAAACAACTAAATAATCTAAAATATGCATTGATATCATTAATGCCCATTGAACGTGCAGGATTAATTTTTCTAATAATCAAAAGCTCTACCACATAATAATGCAATGACATTGTCCATTGTTCTCATGAGTGCCCAGTGCATTTGGATGCACCTTTTTAACAATCAAAAGCTCTACCTAATCATAACGCAATAACATTGCCTGACCTGATCACCAGCCATTTGCATGACATAATTTCTCTTCAGAGTATCCTTTGATATCATTCTCTCAGCAAAATATGCAGCCAGCTGCAATACACCCAAAAGTCATAGGTAATAACAAAAAAGGGTGTCTTGGCTTTTAACAAAAAAAATCAGTTTCTTTTTGTTAAAATTATTACAGATTTGATTTGATTGCTCTAATAAGGCCTAATAATGATGAATTTATCAAATAGTAACATAAGAAATATGCATTTCCAGTCAACTGTTTGAGAGAATCAAGAGTTCTGAGACAACTCAAAACTATTTGAAGCGCCACACCAATGTGCATAACAGTATGAATGGAAAGAAACTACATTTTGAGGGAAGACCGTTTTCCATTGTATCAAGCGTAGATGTTTGCAAAAATTAGCTTTGTGGTGTAATGAAAAATGCAAAAACAAGGAATGCAATTGATTCCTTATAGCTTATGTAGGAGCTTAGTCTCTATTAGAAGGTGTTTCTTTTGATAATAAATCTACTTACTCCAGAAAAATAAATGAAAAAGGGATCTTGCTTTAGATCAAGCTTAGAGAACGCATTGTCGAAAATCTTTTGCCTGGTGCTAAAGATTTAGAATACAAAATGCTACCACCAGATTTAGAGTATGCATGGTTGAGAATCTTCTTATGGACTTCATCTATAATAAGAAGTGATGAGCTACTAGCAAAAGAAAGTTTCCTTACCATATCACCTAATGGTTCTAACTTCAAGCTTTCCTCCGTAAGTATCCGAGGAGAACCCATTCTGCCAAGTTGATCGACCCCAGCTGATGTCGTGCTGTTGTGTGCGAAAACCTGTCTCCAGAATTAACATCCAATGAGGTGATTTGACTTCTAGCTCTCTGAAATTAATGTGATCAAATTTATTAAACCATAAATTAAACTACCTGGCCTGACCATCCACATTCAAAATTGAAACACCTCCATAATGCGAAATTCCTTGATGACCACAAAATCAAGTTTGAAGTAACTTTAGTTGCTTGTAAAACGAGGGCATCACTGAACAAAGGAACTATGATACCTTTTCCGGGATATATGAAATGATAAACTCCTTTCCATCGACCGACCACCTTTGCACTATTTCAGAAGAAACAAATAAATACAAAGGTATAGAATCGGATCTTTTTATCTAAATCATTAATGTAAAGGTTTGATGAAAGACGAACATGTTTGTTGAAAGACGAACATGTCAATCAGAATAAGGTTAGAATCTCAGTAGATAATGGGTCGACTTCCCCTTGAATATCGAGAAACACAAAATATACAGAAGCAAATTTCTGAAGTAAAATCATGTCTATTTCATTCAGAAAAGTTGACCACTGTGCTCCTTCCCGATTTGCCATCAAGCAATAAACAACTTCCCGAGTTTCATCTTCGTATCATTCATTTTTAACTGGGACAATGAGAGGTAAAAGAAAATGAATGGGGTTCATGTCTAGCTTTATATATATATATATATATATATATATATATATATATATATATATATATATATATATATATATATATATATATATATAGTATCCATCGCAAAACTTAACTTATTTTCTACCAGTTGCCATGTGTTCAAACAAAAATGTTTCTCGACCTTTTCCCTGAAATTCCATAGCACAACATAAAACCTTAATGAGCCTGAGGACCTCTGGTGCATGGTTCGAAACTCACTTGATAATGAGCCCGCACCTCTACCCTTACCACTAGACCAGAGCCCCCTAGCTCTTAGTATTTTCTTTACTACTGTGTGTGTGGGCTAGAAGGTACGGATTTTCAACTAGTTGGTGTGGCTAAATATGGTTAATGGATTCTTACCACTTGATACTCATAGAGAAGAAAAGGAAAAAGAAAAAGGAAGGCAACAAATCGAGAAAAAAACCAAATAAAATGTCACACGTATACCTTGGGACAGATTAATCGAGTGTATTCTCCAGGGATAATAGAATTGCAGCATATAATACCCACATTTTCCACTTTCTCCTTCAGTTCAGCAAAATCATCTGCCTCCTTATTTTCATCTCTCTTCAAACTAGCTAGGGAAGTCGGGGGGGGAAAGAAGAACTACAAAAAATTAGAAAACAGAAAAAAGTAACACAGGTAACAGCAAAAAGAATAAAATAAAAGAAAACCTGCAGGTACAAAGAGACTAATTGGAGTAATAGAACGAAACCCATTATTGATTGAGATGATTCTTTTGGAGGAGAAATTGAACAAGGCTCCTATGGGGTTACAGTGAAAGAGAGTTGGCGCAAAGAAGCTGTGCGAGCCAATTAGCATTTCAAGAGTTGCTACGTTTAGAGAGAACTCTCAAAAGCCTCCCTTACGCCACTGTCGCCTCTTATCCACGCACTCTTCACCGTATTTTCTTTTTTTGTGAAATGACCAACGTATCCTTTTTAGATTAAGTGGTTGTTTGGATGGTTGTTAGGTATCATTTCAATAAATTGTACTGTATCATTTTTATAATGTTTGGATTAGAGGTGTTCAAACCCGAATCCGAAATCGAAAATCGAACCGAAACCGAAGCTTAATGGCTTATTGGTATTGGGTTAACGGTTTAACGGAGGGGGAACAAATTGAAATTTTTTTATTAATGGCTTATCGGTTTGGGGCGGATTATTCAATTTTCTTAACGGATAATCCGTTAATCCGTTAAGAATATATATATATATATATATATATATATATATATAAAAATCAAAAACCCTTCTTCCACATCCAGTACTCTATCTCTATTCTCTATTACTAATTTACTATTAAACATTTCTGTGTAGTCTACTCACTTATTAGCGGACAACTAGCATCACGATGACTATACATAGGGAGAATACCATAAACTGGCTTACAACACTTACAGGAAAGAAAATGTCAGGTCTAGTCACTGTGTCTCTATTCTACTATTACTAATTTACTATTAAACATTTCTGTGTAGTCTACTCACTTATGGATTAATCATTTTGAAATATGTATTCTGGACTCACTTTGAATATAGCCTGGAATTTTATCATTTCAGAATTAATCAGGGAGCATTGACTTTTCCTTTGCAATTGTGGGGCGGAGGAAAGACATATGTATTCTGACTCATCTGTAATGTAGTCTGCTTTGGGATGTAATGTGTGAGCACGTGATTTTTGCCCTATTCAAAATACTCCTATAAAATTAAAGAAATAGATTTTTCCCAATTATTTGCCATTTTATAGGATTTTTTTGTAGGAATTTATTAATTGTTTGCATTTTTGTGCACGTTTAATTTGTATAAAAAATCATGAAAATGCCCCAAAAATGTCAAAAAAACATCATGCATTGCACATTAGACTTTGTGTTCATATTTTAGTTTTGAGAAGAGGGCGCACTTCTTATTACTAGATCTGGTGGATTTTGATANTAAACATTTCTGTGTAGTCTACTCACTTATGGATTAATCATTTTGAAATATGTATTCTGGACTCACTTTGAATATAGCCTGGAATTTTATAAAAAGGCCAGATTTGTCCCTCTACTATTGTATATTGTTTAGATTTGTCCCCCGTTATACTTTACGTCTATTTTCGCCCCTACCGTTAACAAACTCTTCATATTTACCCCTAACTCTAACGGACCTACACTGTGGCAGCTGACCCCTACAATTTTTGTCCATGTCAGCTGCCAAGTCAGCCCTTCCTTTTTTATGCAAAATTTAACCGAAAAAATGAAATCCCTAAAACAATTCTTTTTTTTTTATCCTCTTTCTATCTACCCTAAAACCATGTTTTTTGTCTTTGCATTTTGATTTCTGTTTATCCTCTTGTTAAAGTTGTGCAACTTTTCTTTCTTATTTAAATATTTATTGATTGTCAATTTCTAGCTTTTTGTTTGCAGAAATACCTCTTCTATGTTGGTAATTTACTAGCAAACATGAAACAACTAGTTATTAAGATTCCAAGGAAAGTGCTATGAATTTTGTAAAAAATTTTAGGAGAAAGATTGCTTGAGTTGCCAATAGCATTGAAGAATCGTGTTAATCAGAGGAAAAATAAGAATGGTGAAAGCCAATACTATTGATAAACCTGTAATGCAACATCCTGATTCTCACTTATCAGCTTCTTCATCATCTGATTCGTCGCTGGAACTAAGTACTTACCCAAAGGAGTTTCTTGGAGATTTATATGTAAATTTCGAACCAAATGCTTCCCTATCTCCTAGTGAAACTCAGCAGTAAGTTTAGATCTATGAAACATGGTTTAATTTGACCACAAAAAATTTAGATCTTGGAGATTAATCGGCGATGTATACCTGTAAACTGAAAAAGAAAAAGAATGAGAAAAATACAACTGAAAAAAAAATAAGGATGTGGTCATGTGGAGCTGCTCCGGTGGATTGGTCGGATTCTGTTGGCCGGATACTACCACAGCTCCTTTTTATTCCTTTTTTTTTTCTTGGGGGAGAGTATTTCACATGAAAAATGATGGAAGAGAAAGAAAAAAAGATGATGAAGAAGGTTTCCGACCCAACTCCGGCCAGATTCCGGCGAAGACTCTATTTCTTCCTCTCTTTTATGTCGTTCCCTCCTCCGGGGCCATCTGACTTGGTAGTTTTTTTTTTAAATATGACTGGCAGCTGCGAGGATAAAAATTGGAGGGGTAAGCTGCCACAGTGTGAATCCGTTAGGGTTAGGGGCAAATCTGAAGAGTTTGTTAACGGTAGGGACGAAAATAGACGAAAAGTATAACGAGGGACAAATATAAACTATATACAATAGTAGAGGGACAAATCCGGACCTTCTCCCTTTCAGAATTAATCAGGGAGCATTGACTTTTCCTTTGCAGTTGTGGGCGGAGGAAAGACATATGTATTCTGGACTCATATGTAATGTAGTCTGCTTTGGGATGTAATGTTTGAGCACGTGATTTTTGCCCTATTCAAAATACTCCTATAAAATTAAAGAAATAGATTATTCCCAATTATTAGCCATTTTATAGGAATTTTTTTGTAGGATTTTATTAATTGTATGCACTTTTGTGCACGTTTAATTTTTATAAAAAATCATGAAAATGCTCCAAAAATGTCACAAAAACATCATGCATTGCATATTAGACTTTGTGTTCATATTTTAGGATTAATTACTTAATTAATTGCTTTATTAAAATAAAAATCACAAAAATTGGCTAATTTTACATTTTAGCTTTTAATTTTAGATTAGTAATTTTCTCTTTTTTTTTAATTTAGGATCAACTAATTTTTATAAATATTATAATTAGATAATTAGCTTAATTTTATAAATTAGATTAATTTAGGATTTAATTTAGGATTTTAATTAAAGAAAAGAAAAAAAAGAAAACAAAGAAAAAGAAATAAGAAAAGAATTTGAAAAAGAAAAAGGGGGTTTAATTTAAAATTGGGCTAAACCTTATACCCAAATCAGTCCAGACCCAAGCCCAAAACCCGGTCCAGTGCCCCAGCTCCAAAAAATGACCCCGTTTCACGCCCTTTCATCACAGCCGTTGGATTCATTTGATTCAACGGCTCGGAACTGATTACCCCCTCCCCTTAAACTGTCCTAACCATACCCCCAAACCCTAGAGACGGACCTCACTTCCCCCCTATCTCTCATCTCTATCATCTCTCAAGACCCCACCGTCAGCCGCCGACCGAAAATCGCCTCACGGCGGCGGCGACGCTCCAAACCACCCCAAACTTATACTAGATGATCATTAGCCTCCCCTTTACACTATCCCACTACTAATTTCCCCTAAAACTACACCACCCAAACTTACGCCAATTTCTAGATCTGAAATACTGAACCTAAAAAACCCCTAAAAACTTCACCCAAACGGGACCCCTAAACCTACACACTATAGGACCCTCAACCTTCCCTCACCACTACCCTACCCTTGATTCCCCAAAAACTTCCTCGCCAAAGTCCTCGAATTTCAAATATGTGAAGAACCAGAAAAAACTAGTTCCATTTTATCCGTCCTTTTCGGGCTTTCTTTGATTTGCTTCCAAATTCGATGTAGTTGAAAGACCATGCTAGCCAATCGTTCTCAACAAGAACGGTTGGTCAACATATTTTTTAGCCACATCGAGGGACTGTTGAACTGCAGACCCTTTTTTTTAAGCAATCCACTAGGCAGGTGCCTAGGGCTAGTTTTATTAATACTAAAAAAGAAAAAAAGGTCCACATAGGACGAGTACAAATAAGGGGGACAATAGCACTAATTGTGTTGCCTCTATGTCTTGGCCATATAATCACTCCCCTGCGCCTCACAATGCCCATATGGCAGCCTCATGTAGAGGAATCATGGTGTAGCTGCCGGCAAAGTCCTCACGAGGGCATATAATCTCATGACCATTGGATATCTTTCCAAAGGCATAGTACCAGTGCAACACAGACTAGGCTAAACCTCACCTTACTAATCCTATTGAGGCAAATAAAAAGCCTCACCTACTAGCAAGCATGTAAAAAGAAGGAACTAGCTAAAACTAAGTATTCTATGATCATCACAGAGTTTATAACATACTCTGTGATGATATTACATAGAACTATACTAATGTGATGATAGAGTAAAAAGATGAAGAAACCACCATGGTGCTCTCTTTTCTCTAATCTTGTGAAATCTTCAATTTGTAAATTCTTGTCTTCGTCCACAACTCTTTTCAAAATGTCTTCAAAATTCATGCTTATTTCTTCGAACGATTGGACTTTGTTGACGTAGTTGGATAAACCTGTTTTTGTTTGGCACTTCTCATTGGAGGTCGCCTTACAAATGCCTCTTCATTCTTTCTGCCAATCGTTATAGCTAGTACCTCTTTTTCTTGTTGCTGCTGGCCAACAGTTACGAGTGCTACATATCCTGGCATGTTTGTGTTCAATTGTTGCTTCCTAGATTCAGCAGTAAGACCAACTGAAGCCGTTGGATTCTGCAGCAGCTGCTGTCCAGATGATGTCACTATTGCCTCTTCCTTCGACCTATCATTTGTTCCTCTATGTTGTTGCTTTGAGTTTGGGTCGAAGTCAAGTGCATTAGCATTAATCCTACTACCTGATTCTAGCTTGGAAGAACTGCCAACTTTTGGGAGAGTTGGTGATACTATTGATACCATCTCTTCATCTCCTCTACATTTCTCACCATTATCAGAAGAATCATCCACAAAATCAATCCCCAAGTCTTCTTCGTCATCGTATTCGCGTTGATCAACCCATAACTTAGCATTAAGAGCCATCTCCCTCACATTTGCTTTAAAAATCTCGTTGTTGTCTCCAGTGGATACCACCATCTGTCCTGATCACCACCATGTTCACCACAAGACTCAAACGATTGTGATGGTACTTCAAACATGGATGTGTTCAGTGTAACTAACAGATAACTAACCATGTTATTG